AATGGCCTTATATCTACCTTTCAAAGGATAAACGAACGGTCCATCAGGTACAGTGAGTTGGTTGACACGCACAACTTGAACTGATTCGTTGAATTCCTTCTCCATAAGGTCCTTCAATGATGCTACAAGAAATTCATTTCTCCAAACGAAACCTGGTTGCATGGCATATCCCAAAAAGACACCTGGATTTGAAGTTGGGTCAAAACGTAAATCTTTCTTGGGTTTAAGTTTCGGACCAGTCCAGTAGTCAATGCGAGCCCCAAAAGGAATGTTGGGTCCCTTGAACTTTTCCCCAAAACGAAGCTCCCACGGAGATAAGATTTCAGGGTGGTCCTGGATGTTGTGTGCCATACACCAGTGTCGTGCAGCATAACTCCAATAAGAATGGTGAAGCCCTGCCTGTTCGAGGTTAACTCTAGTCCCTTCGAGTACGGACCTGAGATTCCTCTCGGCGACTGCGTTCGACTTAGAGACATAAGCAACACTGGTGTTCTGTCTCCACCCAACTTCCCGACAAGCGAGCTTGATGGATGGCGCTGCATCGGAATAAAACACTCCGACTTCTTCACCAGGTGCAATGAAATGCCTAAAAGCTAAAACACAATCTTTGGCATGACTTCTAGCTGAAGGATAAATCCAACGAAAATTCGTAGCGACATCTTTCATGACCATAGCAACCCTGTCCCCATCAATTGACTGTTCGTTGGCATCCCTAGTCACAAGATGATCCCCAGTGATGTGATCCCCAAACTTGTTGGATTCCACAGTCAGAGATTCCCCTTTGCTACGTTTGGTAGGTTTGTACATCTTAGCACACTTGCATGTTTCACAAAAGGGGTTCTTTGGGGTATGAGTCATCATGTGCCTAAGGGTCCTGGCCTCTTCTCGAAGTGCAGCTTCACCACGATCAATCGCCTTTGGTTCAGGCAACTGAAGTCGACCGTCAACTGGTTCTTCAGGAGCTTCGGCTTCATCTTCCGAACCTTCGACAACGTCTGGTGTCATGGCTGCTGGCGGTCCGGGTGCAAGTTCACCAGGAAAGAATTCTTCGAGGTCGTCGATAGCTTGTCCGGGAATTTCATCGTCATCAGCGATGGAAGCCTCGTAAGGTACTTCGACCTCCTCGACTTCATCATCGGACTCGGCACCGACGGCTGACATGCGAGACCTTCGAACAGGTGAGATGATGGGCTTGCCGTTCCCGGCAGCGGAATTCCATGAAAACGGAATCCCTACTGCGGCGGGTACCTGGCCATCTCTGGATGGTAGATAAGGAACAAAATCTTTGACTTCAAGTTTGATCTTGGTTCCATCTTTCTTCTTGAAATATGGGCGACTAAAGCTTTTCCAAACAAAATCCCATCCATCTTGAATACATCTCATCCCTACCGATATTACAGCCGGGGTATCGGGAAGAACATATGGATGAACTTCTTTGTCGATGCAATCAATGTGAACAGAAGCTTGTTGGTCAGCTGATTGAGAACCATTTGCAGTGATTAATTCAAGGGGTTCATGAGAGTGATACACGATGTCATCGGGAATCATCTTGCTGCAAACTAAGTCCTGTGCACTACCAGTGTCAGCAATCCATGCTATCTCAGCGGATGCGTTACGCTGCTGGGACGGCATATGTCCTGGCAGGGCATTCAGGTCGGAACGGATGCAGTGGCGACAGCCGATATCACTGTCACATTCAAAGCTGCATTTGCAAAGCTTACCATGCAACTCCCGAAAGACAGCTGATTGCAACATTTGTGCTGCAAGTATTGCATCACTTTCTCGTGCTTCGATCGTATCTTTGCGAGTACGATCGTCCTTGGTGATGCGAACTGGATTGAAAGTTCGTTGCTTGGCTTGGCACGGATATAAATTACAGTTTTGCTCAATGGGAACTTCGAAGATTTCATCGTTGCCCCCAAATGAAACAGTGCGATTGGGTGTAACTGGCATGGCAAAATGCTGGTTGAAACAATGCGGAGAGGCGATGCCTTCCGGCACGCGATGAGTGCTGGTCGAAGGGTTGACGACTGCGACCATCATCAGAGCGTGCATCAGGCAAACTGCAGCTGAGCCAGAGGAAGAGGGTTTTCCCCCTTTGTCCTTGAGACTCTGTGAGCCTCTCGAGGAGTTGGAACCCCGACTTGACGATCTGGATCGATCGCCCTTCTTCTTATTTCTCTTCTTCTTTTTCTGGCTCTTTCCACGCTTGTCATCTTTGGTAGATGCAGCTGCAGGCTTCGGTGGGTGTTGGAAAGCACAGTCATTACCTCGTTGACACTTACCTGCCTTCCAAAACTTACACACTTGGTTCCTGGATCCAGGAGACAAAGATCGACCATCTCCCCTAGACTTGGACCTAGATTTGCCTTTCTTACCTCCGCCTTTTCCTTTGTCTGCCTTTTCATGTCGGTATCGGCAATCCTTTCCCCTGGTACACTTGCCAGCCTGAAAGTCATAGCAAATGCAAGTGGGCTTCCCCGTGGATGTCGGCCTCGTGGGTGCTGGCGTTGCATCTCTTTTGCCCGAAACGGACTTCTTGGTAGCCTGGCGCATCTTCTCAAGACGTCTCCTCTCAAGGTAGTCCCTTGCAGCTTTCATGAGAAAATCATAAGAGCGGTTGGGTTCCCCCTCCGGTGTGCGATCATACACAGCCAGATCATGAGAGAGAGGCTTGAAGTTCTTGATGGCGTTGTGAAAGTAAGCTTGCTTCCACATCATGTCAGGCTCGGAAGTCATTCCAGCGATCACAGCATCCCATCGGGTGATGAAACCTCTGAGATCATCATTGACCAAGGTAACAGCCATGAGGTCCTCAATGTCGTACACTGCACCATGCTTCCTACTAGTACTGAAGTGTTTATGAATCATGAGCAATGCTTGACGTCCCCTAGCTGGTGTCCCTGACTTGGCTTGTTCTTCTTTAAAGATGTCAAGTTGCCGTGCAAAGTCCCCTTCGCAGATGTTGGTGAGCGAAGACATGAGCTTTGCGTCCAGGGTCACGAATTTACCTGAGTCCTTCAAGGCATCGGCAGACTGGTCTGACCCACTGGAAAGCTAGGTCGGGTTTAGCAGAAGCAGCAATTATGGCATCCCTTACTCGGATTCTCCAATTCCTATAATTTTCGGGTTGAGGGAACTTAGGTACCAGGATCCTATCAGACTCTTTGGCCTTAGTATCACTAGTCCTAGAACGCTCCAAGGCCCTTTTGACCTTTCGGGTAAAGGAACTCTCAGAATCCGAACTTGGTGACGTAGGGGATGTTGATGATGAAGGTGAGGATGAAGGATCTCTTCGACGTCGTCGTCGCGAGCGGCCACGACTAGTCTTGCGGTCCTTCTTGTCTTTCTTGTCTCTGCGACCTCTCTCGTCGTCAGATTCATCATCACCATCGTCATCTCCTGGAGGTCCTCCGCCGGGTAATCCCGGTGGCTTCAAAGGTTCTGCCTGAAAATGCTCGTCGTCAGCATCTGATGAATGCTGAGGCTTCTTGCTTCCCGAAGCTAACTCTACAATGGTTGGACCCTTGGGCTTCGAGGATTGTGGAATGGGTTTCCCTGAGCCATAGTGAATCATAAGTCCAGGAGTTCCCTCCAGAGGTTGAGACTTTAAATTCCGGATGAGCTCTCTCTGCTCCTTCCGAAGCTTCTCAATCTCCGCCTCGAAGTCCTTCTTCTGAGATTCGGCCAGCTTATGCATGTTCAAAGCGTGTTGATTCATTGCATCAATCTGAGTGCGGTACTCGGCAAGTTCTGAACGTGCTGCCTGCAGATCAGCATTGGACTTCTCCGCAGACGATGTCAAAACACCTGCATTGTTGACCACGTGGGTCAATTCGGCACTCAGTTCCCTGATGCGATGATCCCGCGCTGTGACCTGCAGTTGAGCAGATTTATGCTCACTCATCGCCTGGGCGGCCTGCTCGTTCAACAAAAGGTTTCTCCTGGAAATTTCTTCGGCTGCTTGTTGTTCGACGCTTGCAAGTTGATCTCGAGCTTCACTCACAAGCTCCATACGTTGACGCTCCATGACCTCAGAGTGACGTACATTCGCCTCACTCTGCAATGCCTGCTGTTGAGCAGCCATGAGCTGGTTCGCCAGGTTTGGATCAATGCCTTGTTGTACCACTGCCACGTGGGCGGTACGCTGATCAACACTGTTAAAGTTGATGGTGTTGAGTTGGCTGATGTCAATGTTTGAATCCAAAACACCTGGCATGTTCCTGCGTGGATCTTGACGGCATGGGTCAAACTCTGCATCCAGATAACTCATGTCCCCTTCTGTTGTTGTAGCCGCGCCTGAATGGATTACCACTTCCTCCGGCTGTGTAGTTGTCGCCAAAGCCAATGCAGCCGAGGCGTTCCCGCCCGGGGCAGGAAGCGCAGGGGGAGTGGACATTGCGAAAACTACGGAGAAAGAACGACAAGTGTGAAACAAAGGAAACCAGCGATCGCTTGGCGATACGGCTGATAACCTGTAGAAACAAGCTAGAAACCGGGATAAGCCACAAACCTAGTACACCCTGCAAAGCATGTTTCTTGAGCCAATGCAACACAATCTATAAGGTGAAAAGTATGTATACATGCATAAAGACTGTGCAACAACATTATATACATATATTATCATTGTGGTAAAGGGTGTATGTATATAATTGCGGTTCCCTGAGTAAACAGACCCGGCTGATTTTCGAATCCTTCATTCGTAGGGGATATTCCTGCTAAAAATCAAGATGTTCCTTTACCACCGGTTTTGTTTATAGGGTGATCATGATACTGTAAACATGATCATCCCCATCATCCCCATCATCCACATGTGTCTTGTTAAAAATCTACAGCAAACACCCATTGATTGATGCTGTTTGTTGATGTTGTTGCTTTGATCCCAATTTGATCCCCCTTTTCCTATCATCATGTCTTCACGGTTTGATCATCATTTTCCATCACCATCTTCTCATCATTTCCCCAGGAAACTCCCTGCGCCAGGCTCACCCTCGGCTCGCCTCGCAAGGGCTTTGGCGAGGTTCTGACGCAGCCGCGGCAGCTCTGAGTTGAACATCTTCATGGCCGAAAGCCTGCGGCGCAGCTGCTGCTTCCTCTGCAGCAGCTGGGCATTGAAAGCGTAGGACTCTTCCAGCAGCTGCTGGTGCCTGGGCCAAGGACAGCGAATATCTGATATGTCTATGGGATCATTACGGATCATTTACAAAGCATATGTATAACTGCAACATGATAAATTCTACTGTAATCATCTGTAATCATACACCGTTTCCTTTCTGAAATCTGTGGCCACCAGCTGAACCCCCTGGCATCGCCTCATCTGCGAGGTCTCCTGGAACTCCCGCCGCGTCGCCGCCCCATCCACCGAGGACGGGCTGGTCGCAATGGTGGCTCCGCGGGCGCGGAGCAGTTTCAGCAGCTCGGCGTTTTGGAGCTCCAAAGAAATGACCTGGGCAGAAGCAAAAAATCGGATGATACAGGGAATAGTTCATAAGTATGTGATAGTATGCTTATGTATGCTTACACCCCACGAAAAGGCTGGTGACTATATATATGTGTGTGTGTGTGCGTGCGTGTGTGTTGTATACATATATCTGTTATATAATGTTATATAATGTTATATATACATACGTTATATAGTGTATATGTGTCTATTATGCATATTGTTTCGCAGACACAGCATCAATTGACCTGGGCAGGGATGATCCAACTGATGAATCATCCCGTTCTAGCCATACCGGGGCCATCACAAGTATTCTACTATGATTCTGATAATCTACAAGGATAATCCAATAAGCCAATAATCCATAATCCAATCATCAAGAAGCTAGTGCTATTCTGGATTATCACAAGTTATCACAAGTAGGATGGGGATGGATAGGGTCTTTTGATGTACCATGAATGGGCAACTCCGGCATCTGTATGGGCTGTTGGCATCTACCCCTCCAATCCGATCCCAAAAAATGAAGAGCCAAGAATCAGAGACGGAGACTTTTTAAATCTTTCAACCATAGTTTTTAGGTCCCAAGCACCGTTGCTCTAGACTCTTAGACTCTAGCCATAGTCGCTAGCCATAGTCGATTAGTCACTGCTCACCCTACCCGCCATCCCCACCTGTCGTCGTGCCAAGGGCATCTGGAACTGAAACTTCTTCTCCACCGCATCAGTGGTTTGTCGCAACTTCACTTCCAACCTGGGCGATGCTGTGGGCGATGTGGGGGTGGACCTGCCAATTTGGAGGATGCTATGGGATGTAAGCAAGCAATTTGTATAATTTTATGGGGATTTAACATGATTTAACATGATTTAACCGGAAAGAAACAAGGATCAAACTGATCAAACCAATTAAGAATGGAAACTGGTGTGTCGTTTCAACGATCAATGATGATTCATGAAACAAACGTAGCTTACTTTGAACAGGAAAGATTCGGTGATCAACCAATGGATTCAGGAGAAAAGTACTCCTCCAACCCTCCAACCATTGCAGGGTCCATTAAAATGTTGCATGGCAATACAAACTAAGAACTGGGGAAAGGGTAAGGATAGGAAGTTCATTAAAAAATACTGTGGGTTAAAGTCGGTAATTGTGACATGTTGAAACCCATCTAACGGGGATATCACGGGCATCTCAAATCACCAGACTGGAACTTGGGCACGGCCATATGTTAGCGGTTAACGTCGAGAGACCACGAGAGATGACAAAATCGGGTCATGTTTATATTGTTCTACAATGACTTATGTTGAAACGCTATTTGTACATGGTTTGAGGTGTATCTTGATCTTGCGTTTAATGCAACTGACAATTTGGAACAACGTGAGAGATCCTGAATCAGCCTCCCTCGAATCCTCCATCAAAGCTGTAGCACCACTACTGGGGATGGCACAGCACTAGCAACTCTCCCTTGGATACTCACCAAAACATGCTGAACATTGCTGAACTCTTGACGCACACTTCATATCCAAGTCATGCTCAGTTTTAGATCATCTCATGAAAAATCTTGGATCCCACTTTATGAGAACACACACATAGATATGTATGTATGTAAGTATGTGTATGTATGTAAGTATGTAAGTATGTAAGTATGTAAGTATGTAAGTATGTAAGTATGTAAGTATGTAAGTATGTATGTAGGTATGTAGGTATGTAAGTATGTAAGTATGTAAGTATGTAAGTATGTAAGTATGTAAGTATGTAAGTATGTAACATATGTGCGAACATCTACACATTGGGTTACATATCAGATTAGCCCATCCACACCTTGAATCCTCTTCCCAGGCCCCATAGCCGCCATGGCACGTGCCCGGCCCCGGCATCAACGGCAGGGAGACGACGCGAAACGCCAAGGCGGGAGCCTCGTTCGCTTGGGAAGCCTCGCAGGGACCACCCGATGTATGGAAATGTGTCACCCTAAACCCAGCAACATCCAGCAACTAATCACCCTCCAACGCTGCCTGCAGCACACCTTTGGCCACCAGCTGGTTCCCTTGGAGGATTCGTATTTCCAGATCCGTCTCCACCTGTCGCAAGTCACGAGGTCCGAAAGTTCAATGGTGGGGGAAATTTTTGCAACCACACTTGGAGGAAATTTTTGAATGAGAAATGGTCACAGATGCAGTGTTGAACTGTTGAACCACTCCTTGTCGCTTCAGAGTCGCCACCAAACCGTTCTGCCGAAAAAACATGAAAAAAATCTGGGAAAATCCGCCCAATGATCCATCCCCGCCTGCATCTTGAAGGTCTCCTCCCATCGCGGCCGCGCCCGCGCCTCAGCCGCCTGAGAGGACCAGAGCCCAAGATCTTCACTGCGCGGCAGCACTTCGGCGTGCAAACGCCAGGGGTCACCTGGGGTTGGGACAATCGACTAGGAAACCATCGGGTTTTCCCATGCAAAATCATCAAAAGCTAGCGGCCTAGCTGGAGATTTTGGGCCTAGCTGGAGATTTTCCCTTCTTAAACCAATGCTAGGAATCTGGCAATGATACCAGGGGGGGTCCAAGAAAAGGTTCACTTCACAACATGGTATCATCTGGATTGAAATGGTGGAAATGACGAAAGAAATAAGGAGTCGAATTTGCTCAAACACGTGAGGGCCTATATAAATCTATATATAATCAATGGGAAGCCGAACAACAAAGCGTTGGAAAGTTGTGGTACAAGAAGGGGATACGAGATACTCCTCTGTTGTTTGGTGACTGGAAAGATCCCAGACTCAAATATATGAAATCTTCCAATTAAAGGCCTAACTGTATCTAATTGCATTTGAGATTTTACGGCGGGCCCCTGTGCCAAAAGCAAAGCCGTACACTGTAAAGTCTTGGCTGCAGAATCACCAAGATGCCGATTTTTTTTCGTGTGCCAAAGTCACAACTATTGGATTTCCCATGTTAATATCCATTTCTACCATTTTGGATCCCCAAAATGCCGATTTTTTGTTCGTGTGCCAAAGTCACAACTATTGGATGTCCCATGTATATCTATCCATTTAACATGAAGGGTCCATTTGGGAAATTTCATCATATCAGTATCATATCCGTTGATAGGACATTTTTCATGATGAGCAACGTCGATCCATTGACCCAGTGTAAGCCCGCAACGTGGAGAGCCCAGTAAGCCGCCAAGGGTCTCCCAGGCAAATTTGGCCTGGACAAGCGCAACTCCAAAGGCTGCGCGGAACTCTGGGCATTTCCCATCGCACCGGGCGGCTGGAGGTGTAGTGATCGCTGGGTTTCATATGTGTGTTTTTCCCTACTTGGTTGTTGTTTGATGTAGAGTTCTTGATGGGGCCTCCAAGTAGGAAGAATTCATGATCTTCCGCTGTAGCTTTGTTGTGGGAATTTGCTCTGTCTTTCATACGAAATGAACCCACCAGCCACCGTGGAGTCTAAGGCTTGTCCGAAGGTCAGGGCAGTTGCAGTTACAGAGGTCCGAGAGAATAAATTTCGACATGCCAACTCCGAGCCCATAACCAACATTTTACTCTAGATTTAGGAGGCTTGAGATGATTGAAGCCATGCTCTGAATGTTGAAAGGGCTTGACGACCACTGTGAGTCAAGAATAGCCATTGCGCAGTCCCTTTTCTTGGCTTTGGTGACCTATGGGATCCTATGGGTCTGCTTGGTTCGGCGAAGTCTTCTAGCTCACGTTAAACCAAAGGCAGACCAAAGAAAGGCAAATGGACAGAAAGCACCTTCAACCCCATCATGAAATCACAACGAGCACAAAGCACCGTCATCCAACAAGTTGAGGAATGGTGGGTCTCAAGTACTTTCAAGCTTGGGTGTGCAACTCATTACCTTTTATAAATGTCTTTATTCCTGCATGTCTGCCCTTAACTGAACACTTTTTTTTGGATCTCGGACACGTCTGGTCCAGAGTGCAATCCAAATTCCTCCGAACTCGCTGAGTGCGGCACTGAAGCTCAGGCAAGGACTGTGTCTTGGAGAAGTAGCTTCCTTGTGCCGAGGAACCAACGGTGATGATCTTTGAAGACTGGACACGTTGGATCTGCTGTGCCAAAATGCTAAGGCTAAGCCCTTGAATCCCTTGAATACATCATCCAAATCTCTCTCGCTATCGCCAGGTCTATCCGGTTTACAATTACAAGTGTTTACAACACCTGGCCATTTCAACAAATTTTGACTGGAGGGTATCCCACATGACTTCCTCACGTATCAAGTTGTTAGGCTTTGATCCCAGGAACTCTGCCCCTGCGGGCATCGATCGTTCTTGTTGACTCCAGCGTTGAACCGCTGGTTCCTCAGCTGGCAGGAAGAGGCAGTTGGTCAACTGAGTCCGCTGCATGTCTGCCAGGTGCTTCGCCCATGGAAAAGGGAACCCGTTACCAAAATGGGCAGTCTCAAGTACCCACTGGGACCATTGTGCCGGAAGGTTGAAAACTACCACCAACCAAATCTGGTTCAATTTTGGAGGCTGGAACATGATGTTCGCAAGAGAACCACACATGTAGAGATGTAATTCAAATGTCTACATATAAACCTCCCCGGATATTTCTATGAATGGACCCAGCAACTCCCACGAAGAAATATGTTTGGAAGCGATCTTCCAAAATCAGCTAAAACCTCCAACTCCTCCTTGAATCTTCGAGATCCGAGGGGCCACTTGGGTCGTGCCTGACTCTTGCTGAAGGTCATTCGCGGCAGGTACTTGCGCATATCAGGACCTAGGTCTCCCAAGCACAGCTGTTGGGACGATGCAATGATCATTTCAAGTGTTACATTGATATCCTTTCCAATTTTGGGACACAACTCCGATCCAAAGCCTTGGCTCAGCAAAACAAATCAAGATGAATCAGAACATGACAATCAAAATCAACCCTCCATGACTTGTAGTGCCATAAAAACCTGCCATGAACCGAGCCCCCGTCATCTTGAGGCCCCCCTGGGGCCCCCCTGGGGCCCTCCTGGGGCCCCGGACTGGGCGGCTCCGGTTCCGGCACCTCGTCCGGCTCCGGCGGCGCGTGCTGGTGGAAGATGGGATTCTTCGAGGCCCGCAGCCACTTGACGTACCTGGGCTGGCTGGATGGCTGGATGGCTCAAGAGCTCCAAAATGGTACGTAATGTTCAATGGGAATATAGACAATAAACCATTGGATCTTGGGGTACCCAATTTAAGACAAACAAAAGTATATATTATTATTTCTGTTATGTGTATGTATATATATATATATATGTATGGTTGATATTTGGATTGATGATTTTCTATGGGTTATACAATGAAAGATATGGATGCTGATGCATCTGATGCTTCTTCAATGGTTTGAAATGATGCCAGTGGATATGATATGGATTGATATGGTTTAAACTTGTCTATAACATTCTATGACTATATGGTCAAGATGTGTTGATGTTGATGCTGATGGATCTTTCATGGTTGATATGATTATTATGTGGAAGGTATGGAGGTAGAGCTGAGATTTCGTTTTGGAATTGAAGCTGAATTGAAGTTGTTGGCTCAAGAATTCAAATCAGTTTGAAAAAACATTGTTTAAACATGTTTTTAACATATAATTACAGTAATTGAAACCATCAATTTTGGTTAAGCCTTTGCGGTCCCTTGGGATTGAGGCAGTCAAATCCCAGGTGCTGGGCAATGTTCACGCGCTGCTCACCACGGGCATCTAACTTGGCCCATTCTTTCTGAAACTGCTCCTGGCCGGGGCATGGCCAGTCCCGTCGGCTTATGTCGGCTTTGGGTTTACATGATCCTCAGTGTTGCCATAGGGAGTCACCTAAAATACTGCCTCTCCGTGGCAAAAACTCCATTTTCCAACATGTTGCATGAAGCCATGGCAGAGCCGGAAACACCCACACCCAACTCACCATCCCATGCGGCAGAACCAAGGCACCTCGGTGGGCCTGTGCCCCTGATAGAAACGGAAAACCTCTCGAAACCTGAAGCCATCCCGGGCTTCCCAGAGCGGCTTGTCATCGCTTTGGCTGTGCAAAACCCAATGCAGAAGGTACAATTTGGTACAAACCCCATCACTAGCAGACAGTACACCGGTTGCGGGAGCTATTTTTGCAATTTTTGACATAAAAAATATGAAGCCGTTGATTATGGAACATTGATATGGCTCCCATACATGATGGAAGCTTGGATGTCATACGAAACAGAAAATATCAGTCGCTCCTGTGAGGCATGGCTCAAAATGATACATGTATATACATGTACCCCAAAATTGGATAGTTTAACATCTGAAGGGTCTAACATCTGAAGATAACCAGCCATTTGTGGGTTGATTGTGGGTGATGCTCCTGTGGTTGTACTTTTCTGCGTCGATTTCCTGAGGTTCCTACTCGGACTCGCTGATGTGACCATCCTGAAGGTCACGGAGGTACTGATCATCGTTGATACGTTGGTTATACTGCTCTCCAACAGTAACATGGTGGGTCAAAAAAGGGTCAAATCGTGGAAAAATCTCTGCTCGATTCTCTGCAACTCGCTGCAGGATTTCCAGTTGGCCATTTGGGGTCAAAATCATCGCCTGGTCCAAGTCGAAGAGAGCGAAGATGAGGTGTGCCGTGCTCTTTCCTGCGAGCGGAAGAGGTGATCTGATGAGGTCAGCAACCGCCAGAAAGGCCATGATTTGAGCGGAGTTTGGGGGATATTTGGAGATGATTGCTGGGATTATATCAATTCGATTCAATTCGATATATCATATCACTGGAAAATGTGATATAAGTGGATAGCAAATGATAATACAATGAGATTATATCATATTATATCAATAGATGGCCTGAGCTGATAAAAAAATGTTTTAAGATTCTATGATATTCTATGCTTTTGGCATCTGCATTCGTCTGCACACCCCAAGCTGCCCTGTTAGCCTAGGTCTTCGTGTCGCAGTACTCGAAGGAAGGAACGAAACTCGAGGTAGGACAGAGCATTATCACCTGCAGCTGGGATCCGACATGTCAGAAGCTTACAATAGTCCATAAACATCTATATAAACTATAAACTATCCACTCGTCATTGGTTCATAAATAGATTTTTACTTGTCACTCTTGGCATGCCAATAGATGCCAAAAAATGCCGAAAATCCTGGACACCCAAATGATCACCCCACAAATCCCCACAGCTATGCATGTCATCCCTCACAGCGACTCGGCTCCGCACCGTTCAAGTCCGCTTTTCCTCGGCCGGGTCGCGCAGCAGGTGATGTGGGTCCATCTACTGACATATCTGACATGTCTAGAAATTGATCAACGAAACGAAGTCGTGAGTTTCAAATCTTTCCAGGTCAGGTTCCCCAATCACCAGCAAGCCAGCTACAAGAGCACACAATATTGCAATTACGCCACCAAGACAAGACTCTAGACCTTTTAATCCACCCCTCAAGCAACAAAATAATAATGTAACAGATTTGTCATGATTTCCATGGAATTTTAAAGGGGGCCCTGGCTGATGGTACCCCTATGTCCATATGCTTCCCATACTTTGGGGGTTTCCCTGTAAATTCCACCGCCATCGCTGGCGAGGCTCTGAGGCAGTAGTGGATCGCTTGTGTCATGTTCAACTCACTTCCTTGCCGCGCTGAACCAAGGGAGCCGAAACTGGGAACACCAGGGAACATCTGAGACTTACCGTGAACTTGTCAAATTTCACCTAATTCTATTGATATATCTATTGCATCTATATACCCGACTGAATTGCAAGCAATCATATACAAAGGGCGTGTTCCTCCAGTATTCCTTTGATTTCTCCCAGTTGGTCGCTCCAGTCATCTGAGTCATCTGCTCCCACCCCGTTGCCGCCAAGCTTCTCATGTATTCCACTCCGCCCATGTTTCCGGCTTTGAACGCAGGGGTGAGCACAGATCGAATGATGCTTCGGAACTCTTCGCCTCAGCTGGAACCCAGAGGAGTTGCCAGCAGGGATGGTCACCCTGTCACCCTGTCATCCCGCTGCAGCACTGAACGGGTTAGATATACAATGATATACACAGGTTATACAGTATATGACCATTGTTCTTGATTACACCCTGATGTTTGTTTCACAATTTCCTTTGCTGATCAAAGTTCATCAATCTCTATGTTCTTGCTATCATTTAAAACCGTCACCTTATATGGCAGAAACACAAATGCCTCCAAAAATTGTCAAAAATCATCAACATCACCCAATTCGTCATCCGGTGATCCTGAAACTCCATCAAAATCCACCAGTTCTCCA